CATATCCTGCTTCATCATAACAACAGCACTAAGAAATTCTTCGAATGAAAGTTTGCCTGTGCCATCACGATCAAATGTACGAAAAATGCGAGGAATTTGAGCCTGCATGTATCGTGAATCTTGGGATTGAGAACCAGGAAACCGACTATATAATTTAGTAAATTCTTTCTGAGTCAATTGTCCATCACGGCCAGCTTCATTTCTAAATTCTTGATAGATTTCTGAAATTTGATCAGGATCCAAGCCAGTTGCTTGTGATAATCTGTTCATATCCCATTGATTGTATTGTTTACGACTTGAACGAGCTCCCATCGTTACTTGTAGATGTGTATGTTTTGTGCTAGCAAATTAGACGAAAATGAAAATAGATGCGTTTAGATGTGTGTTAAATAGTGTGATGAGTAAAACAGCCGAACCAGCGATGCGTAAACAACAACCTACCGATATGGTTAATATACGAATAGTCATACCTCGAGCTGCTTGTGAAGTTGGTTAAGTATGCAGTTGCTATCATTGTATTGCACGTTCGAAAACAAAAAATTTTTTCTATGCACAAATAATCACCGATGGTGTGCACGTGTTTAAATCTTAGTAATTTTGTTATTATTTTTTTGCCCTACTGATCAATAATTTGATATGGTTCAACATATTGAAATAATCATGTTTTCATAATCTAGTTCGCGACTATTCTGGTGAATTATGATACAGTTTAGTTGAATGAATTAGTGAAGAAATCAAAAGAAAATCTAAAATTATTCGTCATGAACTTATTCGCAAAATTTCAACAATTAAAACAAAAAGTTTTTTGTTTTAATCTTAAATTTGTGCATTTTTTGTCTAGAGTTATCATTCAAATAAAATGATGTAATGAATTGATCTCTTCATATTCGATTAAAAGTATTCGAAGCAATGTGAAATTTATTAAACTTTAAGTAATATGCTTGAATTTGCAGTTTTGTATCATTGTCATGATGGTTGTTGATGGTTGTCTGTATGTTCACTTCTGTCTTTTCTTGTGTTAGTTTTCAAGAAATCATGACTACGCGGAGAAGAAGAGGTTTAGATTAATCATTACTAGATAAGTATTCATTCGGCATGCAATACGGTCGAAAATGTAGCATTAATCGAAGAAACGTTACAGGCGATTGTTTCTATTAACAAAAAAGAGTATAAATCTTGATTCTCTGACCAAAACTTCGATCTAGCAGATGAAAAACGAAAAGCTAGACGAATGAAACATTTGTCTACAGAGAACATTAAGCGATACGAAAATTTTCGCAGTAACGTTTAAAATCAGCAATGTCAATTAAAAATGGATACAGGACCAAATATGAAAAAAATTGAAAAGCAACGGCTTCAATTTGTTCATTCGTGACAGAATAACGGTTTTGCACGTTCTTTTTTCAATATCTCAGCGGAACGAAGTCAGATAAAGTTGAAATTTCCAGAATATATTTAAGTCAGGTGACTCTACACATCCTCAAAGTTTCATTAGAATCGAAACTTTCTTCATAGTTTTATGATTGAAATATAGGATCGCGACGAAATAACCAAAAATGGTCTTGAGTTTAAGTGTTGTCTAAAGAACTGAAAAATTCAGCGCAAATAAAATTGCGAACCAAAACTTTCTGCAGGGAAGATATAGCTTAGATGACACGCTACAGAAAGGAAAAGAAAAGAAAATTTGAAAAATATAAATAAACGACTTTTGAAAAATAAGAAGGACTCGTGACGAAATAATGCTTTTTAAAATGGGGATATTTTCATCATCGTTTATTTCTTCAGAAAGTTAACTGTAGTTCCCCCGGAATGAACAAATTGATAACATTTCTGAAAGAACAATTAAGAAAACGTTTCACATCATGCTTCTGACGACGTAAAAATTATATAATGAAAGCATGAGTATTGCATTTTTCTGACTTTGTCGAAGTAGATGAACCGTTACGTGGACAGGTCAGCTTACAAGTTAGCAACAGCAAGCAAGCACACAATTTGGTAAAAATGCTACAAAGAAAAAATGTATCAAAATCAACGATTATATAAGAACAAGATGACTATATGCTGCAATGAAAAGAGTGCATAAAGCAAAGATGGATACAATACTGTAGCAGTCTATAAAAAGAAAAAGAAGGTAGGGATGAAATGATGGAAGAACTTGAATCTATAATCCCTTGCTATGAAGACTCT